TTTTTTCTTTTTTCTTTTTTTTTGAGGAAAACAGGCTCAGAAAGTTTCTGAGCTCTCGACTAGTATACTGCAATTTCCGTTACATTAGGGCTGCGCTCGATCTTATTTTCTGCTTTATATCGATGTTATTGAGAATACGTAATTTTCGTGTGTGTAAATTAATTACAACTTCAGGCTTTTCCACATTGAATGGTCACATCTATCAATGATCTTTCAGAATCCTTAGTGCAGAAAATACGAAATTTCAATCTCGCAGCAGATGCAAATAATCCGTGTTTAACCAGTACACGCGTCAATTGAATTTTAGCTTCACAATTAACAGGTTAAACAGGTTTCGTCGATGTCTGTTCTTCAGCACGATACGTAGATTCGTGTAATTTATTCGTCCACGTCAAAAGAAATATTCGCAGAAGTTTTTGTACCAGTTTTATTAAGCGACCAGATCGCAAGGTCGCGCCTTCGGTCCTGGGATTTCGATTAACTGGAGAAAATGGCGTCATCTGGCTCGCGCGTATTTGCACGATGCGTGCCGCACGCGATCCTTATAACAGGTTACGTCGCCGACGAAGACGACCAGCTCCTGATGACGTGCCGCTCGCCGGCAGGTGCACGTGAAAACGTGCACCGAGCGTATTATATTTAGAAGCCTCTCCCCTTTCTCTTCCGTCACTGTTAGAAAAGACGTAGCACGAGAGAGGCGAGTGACGCGTTACGAATCGCTCCCATGTGCCTCGCAATGCCACGAAGATGTTTCACGATCCTCTATGCCGTGTCTTCGTCAAAAAATTTGGAGAACTTCCTTCCCACAGAACCATGACTATTGTTAATATCGTTGAGAAGATGTTTAGTAGAGCTAAAATTCAGCGTGAGAAATTGCGAATCCAATTCTCTGAGAAATAAGAGTGTTGGAACTTGAACCTAACTTAAACCTAACTTAGACCTACCTTAAATCTAAACCTAACCTAAATTTAACTTAAACCTCAGTATAAAGCTTCAATACCGTAGGTTGATATCACGAATCAAATATGGATGAAATATTGTATTTTCACCTTTGTCCGACGTCGACGTCGTCTCTAAAAAAAAATTTCAAAAATATCTACAAAAGAAGACCGCGTGTATATCAGTCTCGCATTCATCATCGTTTTATTGTCCTTTTTACGCCGGTCTCTGATCCCATTCAACAAAGGCGAATAAATATTTATCACCGCGGAACACGTGGCCCGACTATTTTTCGCGGTACGTGTCGTCCGCGCGAAAATCCGCCTTAAAAGCTTTAGCTCTCGAACAACTGATACGGGTCCATTTTCATCACCTATTGTCGACAGTTCCGATATAAATATCGTTGGGAAATAATTGTTCGTGCCAAATCTTGGTTTTATTGTTTCTTCCTTTTTTTTTTTTTTTTGTTTAACAATACTAGCTCGGACAGACAGAGCTCGGAGTTCAATCGCAATCCCCGTGATTTTTAGAAAATCATTCTAATTTTATTATCCTTTGAAGTGGCATTTTAACATTTCCGATAGAATCTTTGATACAGAACATGTAGCATTTAAATTTCATTCCTAGAATAGAACACTCGTCGATGATAGAGGAAAGAAGAAATTTGAAAATTCCTCGAAGTTTAGCTTCTTTCCTTCGATTCTCGATCGAGCGACTAGCCTCACGCTCCGAATCCTCTCGGTCCAGCTCGCGAGCATCTTTTACGAGGAAGGTAAAACGAAACGATCCATAAAACGGTGCACGGCCTCGCCACTTTCGTCTCTCTCTCTCTCTCTCTCTCTCTCTCTCTCTCTCTTTGAGCCTCGGCCTGAAATCGCATAAACTTTGCAACAAACTTCCTCATCGCGCTGGGCCTGCCTTCTCGCTGTCCCTGGCTGCCTGTTCGCGTTCCGCCAGCCAAGTTAACGAAACGATCGCGTCGGGTAGAAGGTGGAACGCGCTGTTTAATGGCCACAAGCTTTACGACCGCCGGGATGTCTGGACTCTCAGGAATTTTTTTTTAAACTTGCCAACTGCGTAGATATTATTCCTGTCAAGCGAGCATGGTCAGGCGACGTCGTTGCTGCGGAAACGAACTCTTTGCCGCGGAAAACTTCGCGAACAGGTGGAGAGACACGGGGCAATTTTGCTAATAAATGTTATCAACGTTGTCAGTATACGACTCTACACAA